TAAAACTTTAAATTTAAGTAATAATATTTTAAAAAACAAATTTCAAATAGACTAGCTTATTTTACAGCAGCTACAATGATTATTGCAGTACCTACTGGTATTAAAAAATTTAGCTGGTTAGCTACAATGTGGGGTGGTTCTATAAAATTAAAAACCCCTTTGTTATTGGTTTTTTATTTTTATCGACACACACTATATACTGATCTCCACCCTTAAACGAAACGGAGCAAATTATGCAATTCACACAGTAAATTAACTCTTACAGGTATTTGCAGGCTGTCTGAACCAACCATTTATACATGCATTCAAGCGCTGGGCGTCTCCAAGTCAGAGCTGAGTATGCCAGTGCGTCTCCAGCAGTTTCTCACAGTGGAAATGATGTCATCCATTTCAATGCCAAACGATTCAAGTGTTCGAATTTTGAAAAAGTCATCACCTTCCGATATGGTTGGATAATATAAAGTTTCAAAAATTATCAAGTTTACCCCGTTTCGTTTAAGGGGGGAGATCAGTATATCGATGGGCCAATCAAAAGAAATCATATCCACCACCCGAATCACATCATATTTCTTGGTGCAACCATATTTCGTCCATGGGACTCCAATTAGTGTGACAACAAACTCGGCTACCGTTATATTACGACATATACAACCTTCACAATAGTTTCAACCAACCACAATTGATATTGATTTACCAAGTTAGCGTTTCACACAAATATAAAACTTGCAACTTTGGGCTAAAAAGGATGATATAGCGTCTTACAAGTGTACGACCATGAACTAGGGTACGTCGTACATTACGTACATTATGACTGGAGAGGTCACTTGGGGATGGTTAGCCATCACATCATGGTCGTCGTCGTCGTCGCTGCTGCTTTCCGAGCTCAAGTCAGCCAACTCAACGGGTTTGTGGCTACACGGCAACGTTAATATGGTTGTGAGGAGTTAGCCAATCAGATTGCAGGAAACAACCAGAAGCAACCAAGTAAAAAATTAGTGTGTGACTTCAATTAGTGTGATACAAACATCCCCTGTTATATACAACATTCAATATCGATCGATCGATAGATTTGGCGATTCTGCACAAAAGTCAATCAAATTTGGGGTAAATGGACAAGATATTGACACCGCCATCGTACGGAGCTTTAGAAAGGGAGACGCTCTTGGTAGCCGTCGACGACGATGATGGCGCGGTGGCAGCCGGCGGCGGCGATGCGCTGCGTTAGATGGACGGACATGTTTTAGCGCGTTTCAACGGAAATGGCGAATATGGACAGACCTGTCGTCGTCGTCCTCTGGGTCAGATTCGATGGCGGCGTTGGTCATGACAGGAGCGACTTCCTTCGTGGCGCGCGCTGCCGCTACGATCGCCTGCACGACCACGGTACCATGTCCGTCGTCGTCAAACGTGACCTTGGAGCCCTTGAACCTGTGTTGTGCGTTCGATTGAGAGACATTCGTAGGGATGATAGACATATAGCGCGTACCTTTTGGAAGGTTTGAGATTGAGCTCGGTCGCCGCGGGCTCGACGGTTGCATGCGAAGGGACGCGCGCGGCTGCGATGGCCTCCTTGTGCGCGGCGGTGGCCTCCCACTCGTACGCCAGTCGAGCCAAGTAGTCTGGATGCGCAGGTTCCACTCGAAGACGTTTGCCCTTCCACTTGGTGTTGTGATACGCCTGAACGACGGCTTGGACTGCCGCGTACTCGTCGTCGGCGTTGTCCGTGTTGGACTTTAGTTCCAAGTACGCAAAGTCCGTCGCGCTCGAGTTCCGCATGAGATCCACAGTGACCATACTCACATTCGCAGGAAGCACACGCTGGAAGCGGTCCTGAAGGTCGGCCTGCGTCGCGTCCGCCGGCAGCCGGCCCACATACACGCGCACTCCACGCATGTTGAGGTTGCGTGATTGAGCAAGATTGATTGGACGGGTAATCCCTTCATATAAGTACCAGGGCCATTCGTTAATGTAATACTACTTGGGTTTTGTCCCACTAATCGAGTTCCAAAATCCATGCGGGAAATACTATGATGATTGACATACACTAAATGCTGTTGAATATCTCGAAGAACATTGCAATATTGTGCTTTCGAGTGATATTTCGTGTTGTGGCGTGGTTTCTCGTTGGAATTTAAATCGATTTGATTGGCTACTTCAGAAGAGCTAAAAATTATTAGCCAATCAAAACCTTCTCAATGAATTTCAACAACCAATCAGATTATCGATTGTGGATCAGGTTTGGTTGGCGCGATTCGGTTGCACCCCCTCCCCAAATTTGTATCAAATCGGCAATAATACGCGTAACGTTACGTACCGATATGCACAGTTCATTATGTAGAGTGCACTCTAAAGAGACTTATGGTCGCACTACAGTAGGTAATGTAATGAACAGAGTGTACGTAGTGACTACGTAGGCGCTGTGCAATGGTGCGAATCAAAAGTAACGTTTACCTACACTCCGCCCAAAACACTATCGACACCCCCCAAAATTTCTGACTTCTGAAAAAGAATAACGTTAGAAGTAGTTGATTGACAGCTACCTAGACCTTATTGGGTACGACACGAAACAGCATCCATCACGGAAGGATTTGAGCTAGCACACGATAGTATCTATCGACTGTAAAGTTAAATTTTCAATAAACATATTTGACCAAGTAAATTGAAATGCCAATTTTAGCCAATCTGTGAGCAGTTAAATAATCAGCACGATTACGGTAGTATTATTATAATACTACGTAGTATAACAAACGTGTGATCGACAGACACCCTCGGCTTCGCCGACGAAAAAATAGACGGCAAGGAGAACCATGCTGACGCGAGATCCGTCGAATCCTTTTGCCTTGCTACTCGCAAACAAGTGTCTGCCGGGCGAATCTCAGCCGCATTAAATGGTAAAGGTCTACACCATTTTTCGTTTAAGTTCAGGATATTTCCAGTATATTTCGTCCAACGCACAACTGATTCACGCAAGCTTATGTTCGCCAAACATTCAATGTATTTCGTTGAGACCCTACGTCATTGTATTATATTTCGACTAATGTCCGGTATATGTCACCCCCCAGGCGGTATATTTCATACCTTGTTCAATATATTTCAAATGATGATCGATAAATTGACGCAGTAATCGACGGAACGAAGTAGCCAATGAAATTTTCAAAAAAAAGCTTTCGATCAATCAAATTATAGGCATATCCGGTGCATCGCCAAACTTCTCCATTTGGCAAAGAGCTCAACGTTGTATCGGACAGACAGTGAGTATATTTAGTTCAAGTAAAATGACGCTCGACGATTTCAGGTGGATTTGACGTCGTTCGTCGAATCTGCCGAAAGTACGAAATTTAGCTCGATAGCACAATACAGTATCTATGATGTCCTTCGATTTACTTGATTTGCTTCGAAAATCGAAATAGATGGATCATCATTTGAAATATATTGAACAATGTGTGAAATATACCGCCTGGGGGGAGACATATACCGGACATTAGTCGAAATATAATGCAACGAAGTTGGGTCCCGACGAAATATATCGAACGTTCGGCGAACATAACGCACATGGCGTGAATCAGTTGTGCGTCTGACGAAATATACTGGAAATAACCTGAACTTAAACGAAAAATGGTGTACTGAAGTAATATGGTGCAAGAAAGCTAGAAACCACGAAGTGGCCAAATTCTTGGAATCGAATTTGAAAGGTTTTCGGGCACTCTTAACCTATACCTAACCTGCAAAATTGCATGTCAAGTGAGCGATTGGCTGATTGGGTTTTTGATTTCCAACATTCTTTTGAAACCATGAAATTCGCGTTTGCGAAGCCCACAGGTCGATTCAGGCCCTGAGACTGCGTTTACACCAAGTCCCTGAAAT